CCCGTCTCTGCTCCCAGCCAGCCATCAGCAACGCCAGAGGATCTTTAGCACACCTTCAAGAACAGTCAGCAGACATTTGCTTCATTAATTCCCCTTTCATTTAGCCAGGGAGATAATCTGACTTGACACCATGTTACCCGCTTCTCTGTTTACTGCGTGGCAAGCTGCAGAACTGTTTGCTGGGAAACATTTTACAAGGTAGAGTAATTTATGTGAGGCTTTTTTACTCTCTGCACATTACAGCTGCAGCGAGGCAGCACCAAGGCGTTATTACCCCCGCTTTAATCGTGCCCCTGTGGATCGGGAGCAGTTAAGTGTATTTGATGATTCCTTCTAAAATACCCATTGTTGCCAAGCAAACATGAATGATTAAAAATTATTCTCTCGTACTGAGCCTGATTGACTATCCCCTCGTGCCCTAGCTAAGCAGGATCACAATTTGAAATAGTAGCTAAAAAGCTGCATAAAAATATTTAAAATAAAGTATTCCTAAGATTTTGCACACGTAGTCACCCCAGCTTTCACATGGCTGGGACTCAGCACAGCCTTCAGTCCATCAGGCAGCAATAATGAAGTGCAAAGCTGCACACGCCGTTGGGGTACCGCTTCCCACCGTTGCGGTCCCGACCTGCTCCATGGGCTCTCGTGGGGCAGCGACCGGGGCAAATGATACAGGGGCAAATGCAGCCGCGCTGCGGTTTTCAGCTTTTGGAAACTTAAAACTCCAAAGCACGCACGGTGAATGCAGCGCATCCGCCATAACACACACAGTACTCGCACCTACCAAGTAACAAACTCCAAAGCACGCACAGTGAATGCAGCACATCCACCATAACACACACAGTACTCGCACCTACCAAGTAACAAACTCCAAAGCACGCACAGTGAATGCAGCACATCCACCATAACACACACAGTACTCGCACCTACCAAGTAACAAACTCCAAAGCACGCACAGTGAATGCAGCACATCCACCATAACACACACAGTACTCGCACCTACCAAGTAACAAACTCCAAAGCACGCACGGTGAATGCAGCGCATCCGCCATAACACACACAGTACTCGCACCTACCAAGTAACAAACTCCAAAGCACGCACAGTGAATGCAGCGCATCCGCCATAACACACACAGTACTCGCACCTACCAAGTAACAAACAGCCTTCTTGCTCTCAACTCCGCGGAGCAAAGCTCTGCTGCAAACAACCGGCATTTCCCCACTGGCACGGGGCAGCACCAGCCTTCGCAGCCGCACGCTCAGCTTATTTGTTCCGTCTTTTTTCAGCTTGGTACCCCACTTCTTTATTTTAAGATTTCTCCATTTCTTCTCATTGATTTATCATCTTCCCTTTTTGACCTTGGGCTTCCAGACACAAAACATTCTGTAAGTGTTTTACTTGGGAAAATACAGGGAGAAAATTTTGGTCATATAAAATTCCCTCATTCTTTCAAAATTTCATTCAGAGAGTTTGTTGCAAATAACTCTTTCATGTAACCTTTATGAATTTCTCCCTCTTTATACCATATTTCATTTTACAATAAGAGATTAATGTATGCACAGAAATATATCCCTTTTCTATTTTAAGGATTTTTATCAAAATACCAATTGTTTTCTATTTTCTAAAAATAGAAAAGTGCCAAAGGATAGGAGGTAAGAGACCTCCAATCCTTTCAGGTGTCTACATGTCTCTGGCAATAACTGCGGGTGGATTTTCGCAGGGAGCCTCTATACTGTAAACAGCTTCACACGTTATCTTCCCCAGATATCGCATGTTCTGGGAGCCAGCAGCACGGAGTACACAACATTTTTTAACCCACCGGTATGTCAGCACCGCAGCTTCACTAATGATTTCCTGCTTCTTCATGATTAACGTGGACCTTTACACTTACACATTTATTGCTTAAGGTTTTCAGGAAAAAACCCCACACTTTTGGCCAAAATTATTTGGGTATAAACTTAGCAAAACAGCACTGCATATTTTGTATTAATCAAAGTGGTGGAATCACTGCTCTGAAATAGAACAGAAATCAGCCTCCCAGCCAGGAGCTGGGCTTTGCTTCCCAGGCAGGTGCAGCGGTCAAACCCTAAACACTTGTGCGCGTCGGACACATCAGACATGAATAAGCGGCACACACTACTCCAGACCAGGCGCGCACGCCCCAGGCTAACAGAGCCTTCCCCATCACCCGCCCGCTGGCTCACAAAGGGAGTTTGATACCCACTGTGCCAGAATCCGACCCACGCGCTGCTTCAGATACCGATTGCATCTCATTTCTGCGCAGAGGTGGGGGCTAGGTGGTAATTCCACAAAGCTAGCGCCCCGAACGAGACCTTCTGTGCCTTATGCATACACAAGACTTAGAGTTAGTAATTATCCTTTTTACAATGATTGGTTAGTAATTACCATGCTATCTGCTATTGGTCAACTATATTCTAATTAGCCTCGCTTGCTATGTAAATTAGCACACATGCTTCTTATGGGTGTGGGGAGGCAAATCCCTTTGGTCGTAAATTGAGTCGGTGGTCGCAATCCCCCCTGCCAGAATTACCTTTTCCCCAGTTACTGTTTGTCGGCAATTGTCCAGTTTGTCTGGCGCCTGCCAGGGTAGGATGTTCCCTTTTATCAGTTTCTCAGTTCTCCTTCAAGGTCTAGCTGCTCCGGGATGTCTTTGGTTAAAGGATACTGAATGTTTGTCCTTCTGATTAGGGACGATTAAGTGTCCTTTGCTCGTCAGCTTACAAAAACATCTTGGCCTGATACAACGTTAGCTCCTCACCAGTCTGCCCTTCCTAGTGTCACAAAATGCTTTTGCCTCCAATCATCCATGAAAACCTGTTTCTAGCTAATAACTTCATTTTCATCTTCGGTCGCATTTGGAAGAGCACGGTGTAAAACAGTTATCACAAACCAGCAAGAAATCCCTGGCCCGACTTCTAAACCAACTTTGCCTAATGCCTATAATAATGTTTTGTTCATTTTGTTTTCAGTTTTTCCAGATTTGCTCAAAGTTATCCCTGCAAGTATCCATGTCAGCGTCATTCTCTTCTGTGCAGTACTGATCATCTTTGCTCTGGTGGGAGCAGGCTTCTTCATGTTCAATGCTTTCGGCAGCCCTTACGAGACTCTGCACGGCCCCGTTGGGTTGTACCTCTGGAGCTTCATCGCGTGTAAGTACCACTCCACCCTCAGCCTAGCGGGCTAACGCCTGCCCATGGTTGCTACTTAGGAGGACCAATTTATTGGCATAGGAGGCCGTATTAGGGACTGTGGCTGCATGGACTCTAAACTGGCAAAATAAAGCTAGGCAGAAAGGCGGATGACTTTGCTGTATCAAAACACGGGGTTTCCAAATTGGAGTTAAGAGATCAGATGCCAAAATTCTCCATGAGGGTGAGCGGTGGCATGGGTACGGGTGCAGGCAGCCCCAGTGCCCTCAGCCCTTCTCCATAAGCTGGCAGAAAAAGGGGATGGTGCCCACGAGCCCCGGGGACCTAGAGCTGGGGTCACATCACAGACACACAGCACGCGGTCAGCACCGGGAATCGCCCCAGAGCAGGGAAAGGGGGAGAAAAAAAGCAAACAAACAAGTCAGTGATGCAACTGTTTGTATTTACCAAGGTGGGAGGTTTCCAGGTGTGTAAGCAAGATCACCACTTACACCAGCAAGACTTTCTCAAGGAAGGAGGGGACTGAGAAGCAGAGGGAGACGCGGACAGCAACGCGCTGTAACGGTGGTCTCTGAAAAAACACTGCCAACAGGGCTAACAGACCACCCCCCTCTCCCTGCCACTTACAGGGAAGGTAAAGCCCATTCTCTGTGTCACCAGCTTGGCTGACCAGATGTCGCGTTACTTGACAAGATATTACATATTAAAATCATAATTTGATAAAGGATTAAGTACGTATTTATCTTTAAACGTGCAGACAGTTCAGTTACGTTCAACGGGACAATGAGCAGCTTAAAGCTGAAGAAGAGCACATATACTTTGCTGGATCCGGGCACTAGAGCAGCCGTGCTACCTATTATGGGTCTTAAGCCAAATTCAATTAAAAAAAGCTTACCGTTTTCAATAGCTGTTGGCTTGCATTCTAAAAATAATCCCTGTTAAAGCTAGTTTATGGTGGCCATAATAACATTATCAATATGGCATTTGGTTGTGATGTAAATCACATGGCCTTGCTGCAGGCATTGCTGAGACGATGAGCATCTCTCCCTCTGTCTCAGGTTCCTGCGGTTGCCTCATCATGATTCTCTTCTCTTCAGAAGTGAAAATCCACCACCTCTCCGAGAAAATTGCTAATTTCAAAGAGGGAAGTTTTACATTCAAGACTCACAGTGAACAGTTTACAAATTCATTCTGGATTGTCCTGGTTTGCTCCCTGGTGCACTTCCTAAATGCCTTGTTGATACGATTTGCTGGATTTGAATTTCCCTTTTCAAAATCAAAAGATTCAGGGACAACCACTGGAGCAGTTGACCTGATGTATTAGATTCACACAGTCTAAGAACATTTAAAGCAGAGGTTCATCACTACTACATTCAACAATCACCAGATGTACTAACTTGTAAATGATTAGCTCTAAAGAAGTTAAAAAAGTGAAGGTTTCAAATAAACACCAACATGGCATATGCAATAAACAAAAGACGACATGCTATTTGGTAACGTCTAGATCAAAATACCCTCTCTTTCGTGGGGTAAAACCTTGTGAAGACATTTGCTTTTTTCCCAGTAAGTTATTTGAAAAGTAGCTGGTATGAAGAAAACTAGGAACATCAGTAGCATTGAATTGGGTCTGGCAAGTAAAATAAAAGCGTTGCAATAGAGGCACACACTATCACCAGCAGCAGTTTTACGCTTTAGCCCTTGCGAAGGCGAGGATGCAGCTGTTACATCAGGGCAGCGGAGAACAAGGACACCCAGCAAATCTGCAAGCATCGAACAAGAGAAAAGCAAACGTATGGGCTTTGCTCGTAACGCACATCAGGCCCCGCCTCGGAAGCACGATGCTGAGAAGGAACACAGTGCTATGGCAGGTGCTTGCAGGATGAAACCCAAACGCCTGAACCCACCACCGACACTTTAAACTAGCATCACATGCGTGGCAATGTCATTGTTTCTGCCCATAAAGCTCTCTTTTGGCTTTTTTAGTTTTAACAAACCAAACTGTAACTCTTTAACCTTGAAGTCCCAAAAGCCTTCATTTCCCTGTGCGATCACTATAGCTGGGGGCTTCATGATTTTGGCTAAAAAAAAAAGACACACATGGCAAAGCAGGATGTAGACAGATGCCAAACTCTCCCTCCTGCTGCCCGAGGGAGGCAGCCTGGCTTGGTGCTGCTGAACAACCCCTCTGCAACACGCCAAGGCAACGAGCATTTCCCAGAGCAAAGCGACAGGAGTGCAAACCAGGCACCTTCCGCATTGCGCTGCATCCCCCCAAAGCCTCACAGTCAGAGACGTGAAGAACCCTGCCCAGAAAACAGCCCTGCAAACTCTCTCATCAAATAATACAAATAAACAAAATCAAAACCTTTAGCAAAGGGCAGCAACAGAACAACACAATAGACAGGCTTACAAGGCATGCTGCAGCTCAGCAGAGACTGATGAAGAAATACATGAGGTTCTCTACCTCGGGGCATGCAGGAAGCCAGAGCAGACAAACGCATCAGCCCTTGCACCCTTAAACTTCTGCAAGTCAGTCAAACAACCAGGCCGCTCGCCCTGGGTACGGTACAGCAGCCCACTTACATACAGAGAGGGCACAAGAGCACCCCGCCACCAAACGCTACCTCCGCAGGATCAGGCAAGTGCCTCGCAGAGGGGCTCCCTGCAGGACACGGCATCGGCACCCAGAGCAGACACAGCAGGAGATGCATGGGCAGCAGGAGATGCACCGGCGGCCCATTTATCTGCAGGGCTGCAGTCTGCTTCCCACAGCTGCAGGTGAGGAGCAACCCCACGAGCATCCCTCGGGTCACCTGTGGTGAAAACCGGGCCCAGGTACCTGTTAGGACTCGCCTCTGAAAACTGCATGCTTCAAGCTCCAGCGGCTTGCAGGCTGACCTCTCTGGCGCTTATGCCAGTTTTTATACTTTTACTATGAATGGCGAAACATTGCTGGGTTTTTTTGCGAAAGGTTTGTCAGCTGTACCCCTACTCCAGAAACGCTTTCAGAAAGCAGCTCTGCCTCCCCACGCTGCACCGTATATTCCTAGACTGCGACAACGTGTAAGGGCTACTGCAAGTTGCCATGACCCCTAATTTTTTCCATCATTTTATTCTTAATTAATATGTATATTCTTCTTAATGTCAATGCATCTTCTTAACACCTAATTTGTATTCCATCTCATGGTATTGTTTACTGTACGGCAAGTAATGAGAGGTACCGTTTCGTCCTTTTGCTCCTGGTGTTTCACGAAGCTGCTCTGCTTTGCAGCTCTGCGGCGGCTTCGGCCGTCGGCAGCGCACAGGGTCGGACGCACAGACCGCTCACGCGCGTCTCTCTCAGAGAGGTCCTTGCCAGTCCTGAAGGAGCTGGCCCGTACGTGTGAAACACAGAGTTGCACAGACCTGCCTCGGCACAGAGGATGAACCCGTTCCCGTCCCTTCTGCTGTGCAGGAGGGAGCAGCCCCTGACTCGGGGCCCGGGCGTTTTCACGGGGGGATCACAGCAAAGAGCCCGGCTCCGTCGCTCCCCCCGCATCCCATCCCACCCCGCTCACAGCCCTGAGGCTAGCTGTTCTTTTCGTTTGTATCCAGTTCCCAAGGCAAACATAGCAACTTCTTAGCAAAATAAAATTGAGATGCTATTTGTGTTTGACCAGCTGAAAGGAGCGGTTAGACCGAGCGTGACCTGCTGAGCCCGCGCTGCCGGATGAGCGCCAGCACCTACTCTGTGGCTCACTTGTAACCCATGAGCATCAGCTAAAGAAGTTTTGCCCTGTTTCATTTCTAGACTAGTGTTTATTTCATGATTCAAAAAACAATAAAAATTGTGTAGGGAGGAGAAATATATAAATATATTTTGAAGATTCTTGAAAAATCAGATTTTTTCCTATCCCAATAAAAAGTTAGTACGCATGTGCGCCTGTACGCGTGTGTGCATACATATAAACAAAAATACATATAATAAGTATATATATACAAGGGTGTAACAGGCCTAGACCACTGGCCCACGGTGCTGATGCAGGGGTGAGTGGAGAAGCATCGTGTTGCAGATGTGGATCTCGCCGTGCTCTCTGGACCTGTCCGTATTCCACCCCACTGCTGTGCTGCCCTGAGCAGGGATCCGGGCAGTTGCGCTGCTGGCTCCCGTAGCGGACCCTTCTAAAGCATATCTACCTTAGCGGGTTTTGTTGTCAAAGTTACTGCCCCCAGCAGAGATCATTTATCTTGGAAAACAGCGTGAACAACAGACTTAGTCGACCTCCCTGCAAGGGCAGGAACGATACACCCACGCTGAAATCTGCGGACGCAGTTCCATAAAGTGCAGCCACGAAACGGCACACCTCAGCCAGACCCCGCGGTACAGAGCAGCTGAGGCATTGGTGCGGCAGGAGGCATGCCAACGACGAACCTGCCGCCAGATGCCCCGCCGC